TTCCAATGTGCCTGTCGACACATCCATCCTGACATCCATCTGTAGCGCTTACCTCGCTTGAAGCATTGGTTGAAACCGTAATCGGGGACCTAACAAACCCTCTATACCACTAAATGTGAAACTTCACAGAAATTTAACCGCGTGGAAACACTCAGTACAGCATTCATGACAAGAGGCGAGTTGTGAAGGAAGCATTGCGAGTGAGAGAATTAGCATACTGCTGATTCACTGGAAGCACGACACTTGTTTGCATGCTTACTTCCACCTAGCGCTTTATCACACCGAAGTTGTCTTTCATGCACCGAAGCATCTTGAGCACCAAGCTTATCTTGCTGACACAGTTCCCTTTTCTCCTTCTTCCTCTACCTTCCATAATGGCGTTAAAGGTCCACGCGGTGAGCGAGGTCCAGTAGGTGATCCCGGACCTCAGGGTCCACCAGGACCCATGGGTCAGGTTAAGATCCTCAATGCGCCCAATGACGTGGAAGACACCATTAATCGACGACGTCGACAGGCTCCTGATCCCAACCAGGGTAAGACGTGTGCTCCCTATCCACTCATCCTCTTGTATGCCTTTTAATCAGTCCTCAGCGACCGTAACAGAACATAAAATTTAAAATTAATAACTTTTAGTTATTTGTTAGAATAATCTACCTCAACTTTTAGACAATGTCTTTCTTCCTTTGCCTCCTTATCAACTTTTCTTGGACGAATATACTACGCCTAGTGCTTCCTCTTCGCTCCATTGGGAGGCGTCTACAAAGGACTGATTGTCCTTAAATCACAAAGCAATCACAGATTTTTTCGTCGGATAATGATGAGACTCAAGTGAGCTACCAATGACTGAGGGTAGTTAGAAGTTAGCTAAGACAGAAGACAGAGTCGTTCAAGACCATCAATTTCAATTGTTTGGGGAAACTTGAGCGTTAACTGGTCGAGTTAGGACAAGTTGTTTTGGGGGAGATTTCTGGTTCAAAATTTCTATTATTTTTTTGTGTTTATTTTATATTCTGCCTCTAAATAATGTCACTGTCATTGTTCACAATGATTGTGAAAAAAAGTGCTGTGGCATCTTGAGTCCGTTCGTTGGCTCGGATGTCATGGGGTGGAGTGGAATCGCAACAGCGAAGCCCTGGATGCTGGCGTGACCCACACGACGCTTTGAATTCTTCGAAGCATTGTTTAGTCTCTTCTATCGTTTAAGCACCGTCTGAAACACCTCCTGATCGCCGAGTATAGCAAAGTGGTCGGATGCTGAAAGAAAGGCACCTACAATTTG